ATGCATCAGTTACAGTCATGTTCTCAAGAAGCTTCACAGTTATCATTAACCCATGTACTTGCATTTGAATGTCAATACCCAAAGTTACCCAAATGAAAAAATAGAAAGATCTTTTAGGTTGTGTTTTGATCTTTCCAAGACCTGCTTTTGCAGTACACTGTCATCTCATAAACTTAGTCATCTGGAAAAATACAAGAAAAGTAAAGCAATCAATAAGAAACATATGTAGCATGTGAGCTTGTCAATATTAGATCAGACATTCTATCCAGAACGTCTAAATTCTCAAGCAAATTTCAAACCTCGTAATGCAATTCATCGAGCAGTTTTTATTAATGAGGTATATTCAAGGTTCTGAAAAGCGGTTGCGGTCGCCGTAACGGTGGCGGTGACGCGGTTGCGGTTGCGGGGTGTAAAGGCCGTAGTGTAACGGTTGCGGTAACCGGAACCGTGAATTTTTTTATTTTTCGCACAATTTGAAAAAAACTTACCGATACGCATATTTTTTTTTCCATGATCATATTTATTGGGTTAAAAATAAATATTGATCAATTTTTGTAAATTTTTAAGTATGATGCAATATATTTCATATTTTTAAATCACTATAAACTGAGTTTTTTACATTTTATTTTAATAATTAATGACTTTATATTATATAAAAAATCAATCACTAACTATTATATATAAGATAAATAATGACAAAAGTAAGAGAATAAATAAGAGCCTTAATATATATATATATATATATTTTAACCAAACCAAATAGATAATGGCCACATTTATTGTTATTATTATTTTCAAACAATATATAGATAGACACATACAAACAAAATGGTTTAGTGATAGCAGCTGAATAGAATAGCATATGTCTTTCAACAAATCAATAACATGTTCTTCATCTTCCCTCTTCTCTCTCTCTATCTCTTGCTCCTCCATTTTCTCTCTTTATCTTCTCTCTTCTCTCTATCCCTCTTTCCCCATTTTCAGCTTTTTTTTGTGTGTTTTTTCAGAAGAAACAGTTTGGAACCGTTACGTAACGCTGCATAACAGGCTGTTACGGCTGTTATGGCACCGTTACGACCGCTACGGCAGCTGCTACAGCCGACACACCTGTGAATCTCAATCACACTGCAAAAGCGGCCGTAACGGGTGGCGGTAACCTCCAAAACCGTTACGTAACGGCGTTACGTAACGGTTGCGGCCGCTTTTTAAAACCTTGAGTATATTACATATTAATCACAACCACTTAACCAGTTCACCAGAACAAAGACTTACAGCATAAGATTTACGCCGTTTAAGAGCTTCACGAGCAAGATCCTCATCTCCCTTCCCAAGAGCAAGTTGTGCTCTTTTGTACCTATTGTAAAATGGAAGGATAAAACCAACAAGACTGGAACGATTGATTTAAAGCTTTTAATAGCTATTTTGCAAATTACCATTCTTCAGAGGCTTCTTGTGCAGCTTTGTATTTATTTTCCAACCGCTTCTGTGATGCCAGAACCTTCAGAAAAAAGGAAAAGACATAGGCTGTGTTTGGTAAGACTTTCCAAAATTAATTCTACGTTTACATTCTAATCCTATGTTGGGTTAGAGTTTTCAAATTATGATTCCAAAACAATTTTAAAACACATTTAGAAAACATGTTTGGTAAACCAAATTTTTTTTGAATTTTTGGTATACTCGGTCGTCCACCCGGACATCTTGATGTCCGGCCAATTGATCGGAATAGTACTTTCTTTTTCTTTTTCTTTTTTGCAATTGCCAATAGCCACCTATTATTTGGAAGAAAAAAAAAATTATATTTGTTTTTGATATTTTTTAAATATAGAAATTATTTTTTTAGACCAAAATGATAAAAAAAAAATTTGAATTGAATTTTAAAAAGAGTTTGGTTATAAGTTTTGAATAAAACTTTCAATAGAGTTTGAGTTATGTATTTAGTTATGAGTTATTCCAAATCAATTTCAAAACACATTTAGAAAACATATTTGGTAAACCAGACATTTTTTGAATTATTGGTTTACCCGGTCGTCCGGCCAAACATCCTCCCGGATGTTCGGTCGGTTGACCAGAACAGTATTTTTTTTTTTGACCAAAACAGTACTTTTTTTTTTTTTTTGCAATTGCCAATTGTCACATGTTATTTTAAAATATATATATATATATTATATTTGTTTTTGATATTTTTTAAATATAGAAATTATTTTTTTATACCAAAATGATAAATTATTTTTTTGAATTGAATTTTAAAAAGAGTTTGGTTATGAGTTTTGAATAAACTTTTCAATAGAGTTTTGAGTTGTATGTTTGGTTATGAGTTATAAGTTTTCCAATTAAGTTTTGAAAACTCTTTTCAAAACTCATAATCAAACAACTTTTCTCATTTCATATGGCACATCAAAAATTCAAAACTCTTTTTAAAACTTATAGCCAAACAATTTTTTTTTTTTCAAATCATAATTCCAAAACTCACAAACTCAAAATACAACTCTATTCTCAAAACATAATTCGAAAACTCTACCAAACACTTCCATAAATTTTTTCACCACCTTTCCTCCATCTCTTTTCATTTGTTTGTTCGTTTTTTGGTAAATCTTCCTCCATCTCTATCACTTTAAGCAGTAAAATAGATATAGATTTATTACATTCTCCTTTAATTCACAGAAAATTGATATGAAAAAAAGGGAAGAAAACGAATTAGAGAAATCTATCAACGAGTGAGAATAAATATTTTTTTTTAAAAGTGCGAAAGCAACTGAAAATGAGGCATACTTGTGCTGTAGCTTGACGCATCTTTGTTAGATCATCATTCATTTCAAGCACAGTTTGTTCTAAAATCTTCTCTGGATCTTCAAAGGAGCTAACAATTGAATTTGCATATGACTACACTTGCGACAAAATTAAGCAACAAAAGAAAGGAAAAAAAAAAACATTCGAGTATAAGTCAGAGAAAATCAAAGCCGTGATTTCCAAACAAAGAATGACAAACTAAGAACCCTCTAATAACCTTGATCACTCTAGCAAATCGGTCAAAAAGGTTCATTCGAGCACCGAGAGCACCTCCACCATGACCGTTACATCTGGATCTGATGGAGTGAGACAGTCGTATCCCTGTAAGTTTTATAGCTCCCACTACAAGAAAAATGAATGAATTCTAAGAAAAACTGAACCAAAAAGATTAAGAGAATAGAATCTTTCGGCTTTGGATATAAGATATCAATCCTACAACAACATTAATAGGTAACTCTAGCAACAAGAAAGAGCAAGAAAAATTCCATGGTGTTACTTATGATATTCTAGTTTTTAAAAGGGTACATTCTCATCACAAAAGATCTAGAATCATGGGATTACCTACAAAAAAATTTCCTTCATCTTTGGAACATAAAATCTCATTGTTACATTTCTATAATTTAATTATTAAGTTTCAATATGATCCATAAGATATCTACTAAGAACATTGATTATTTAACTCCATTCTTAATTGAATCTCATCTTAGCAAACTTTGGTCAGCAAGTATGAGAAAAATATTTTAGAATTACTTTTCTCATTTATTAATATGATAATATACTAGAAACTAAAACAAAATATTATTTCAAATTTTAAGAGTATTCAGCTGACAGATTGATTATGTTTGTTACAAGTTCAATTTGGTCCATCCAGAAATCTAACCTGAAAAATGTTATACTATATGAATACAAGTTGTCCAAAAGAAAATGCCCAATGCTGCAGCAGGATATATTTGGATTGAAAGATACATAGTAATGATCTTGAAAATTTGTCTCCTCAATTTTTTTAAAATTATGATGAGAAAGTGGAAAAGGGAAACAAGATAAAGAAATGACAAAAGAAAACAAAGATGAATGAGACTAAGTTAACGGGAGAAGATGAAAAGATGAAAAGACAAAATACAAAAGAACACGAAGAAAAAATAATGTAGAAGATGAGTAGTTAGATTCAAATTGTTAAAACAAGGACGATGCAAAATTTGGTCATCCAATATGAACACCCCAGTATGCCTGACTAAAAATCTAGATCATCCAATTGAAACATCTAGAACATTCAACGGGTGGGATCCATTTTGGGTGAGTCAAATAATAATTCACGTAACAAGCCGCTTCTTCCATTTTCTTCTTCTCTACAAATTTCTATAATTTTACTTTAAGCCTCTAAAATCCTGAAACCAGATTTGAACTACTGCCCCTTTACCCATAACCTCAAGAGGTTTTACGATGATTAATGTTTGCTTTGTTGGACTAATTGCATACATTTTTTCTGTTGTGAGGTGCCTTGTTAGTCCTTTTCCTCTTGTTCAAATAATATACAAAACCAATCATACATAATAAATTACACACACTATAGCAGTGCAAGTCAATAAATTGATTAAATAGACTACAACACAAGACCCAAGTTCTTAGTTCACACTAGTTTTTTTTCTTTCCAATAATTCATATGTACATCCAACATAAAATGAACAAATATTTTATTGTGTGTTTAACTGAATTTGCAATTGATCAAAGAAACATAAATGCCAAGTACCAACACAAAATAATTAAAACTGTTAGCAACAAATTACCAAATCTGGAAATTAACAGATACCCAGAACGAAATATGGTGGGTATTACTGAGTTGAGTACCTCCATCGCCGAAAAAAGATGTTCTGAGAGGTGGTGCCATGAGCCTACTAGAGGAGGGGGGAAGAGAAGCAGATGGTGTTGAGGCCATGCTTATTCCCGTAATGGGTGCTTTGATAGACATCTCTACTTGCGATTGTGAACAAACCCAACTCTCTCTCTCTCTGAACAACGATTTGGAACCCAAAGATTATAGCAGAAATCCAAACCCTAGGCTAGAGAGAAAGAGGGTGTGTGTTCCAGAAAATTAAAAAAACGATTTGTAGAATTGATGATTAATGGTTGGATTTTCACTTGGATTTTCAAAGCGTTCCTGTTCTCGACTCTTTTTTGCTTCGTTCTTGTGTGTGGTCACCGGCAAATAAGGATGATTTTTTTTTTTGTTTCATTTGCATTTTGCATATTTATTTTTATTTTTTTGGGGGGTCAACTTTTTCCCTTTTTTTTCTTTTTTTTTTTTTTCGGGTAAATTGCAAATGGATTTCGTGAGATTTGTTTAAAAAATATATTATTTTCTGTTTTTTATATAAATTATAAATATTTTTTTATCATAATTTTTTATTTAACATAATTAATTAAAAAAATAAAACTCATAATTACTTTCTTATATAATAATAAAATTACATTGATTATTAATTGAAATAAATTTTTAATATCATAAAAAACTGTTAATTAACTTGATAATTTATTGTTAAAAAAAACTTATTTGTTATAAAATTATAAATTTCAGGGAGCGGGATGTAATTTTCAAAACAGCACTGCTAAGTAGCTTGAAAGGGAGCTGGTCAGACTAGCTCGAATTCCAAAATAGCATCGTTTTAGATTTTTTTTTTCTTTCTCTTTCCTCTCTGAAACAGATAAAGGAAAGAAGAAAGAGAGAAGAGAGAGAGAGAGAAAGAGAGAGCCACCTACCGGCGTCGCCAAATCTATGCGTATACACATATCTATATACATATATAAGAGAGAGAGAGAGCCACCCACCAGTGTCGCCATCACCGATCAGCGCCGCCATCAAGTCTTCTCTATGTGTATACAGATCTGTTCCCCTTCTCTGTTTTTCTTCTTCTCTTCCTCCTCATTCTCTCCATCTTTTCTCCTTCTCTCTCTCGCCTCTTCTCTCTTTCTTCTGTCTGTTTCAGAGAGGGAAGGGTAAGAAGAAAAAAATAAAATAAAATACTCAAAATGACATCATTTTGGATATTCAAGCCATTTCGGGGCAAGTTTTTTCGAGCTACGTAGCATTATTCTTTTTAAAACTACAGGAAATAATTCGTATTTTAAACAAACCTCTTTGTAATTTATCCTTTTTATATATTTTTTCTTTATTTTATACGTATGTATATATATATATATATATATATGGGATATTTTGGGAAGATGGTTAAAAGTTAATTTTTTGGCTTTTAACTAAGCTTTTGGCTTTTTTATAAAAGTAATTTGGGAAGTTGGTAAAAACCTGTTTTTGGCTTTTTTGATTAATATTTGTTTATGATATCACATCACAATAAAATGACTAAACTGCCTCCACCCAATGTAGAAAATTTATATTTTCATCCATGTAAATATAAAAAAACATAAAATATATAATTGTAATTTTCTATGTGGCTTTTTTGGACTTGCCAAATGATTTGGAAACTTGCTAAAAAAACTAGCTTTTTGGTTTTTTAGTTTTTTTACACAAAAAACCACCAAAAAGTTTAAAAAAAACAAAAAACCAATGTAGCGTTTGGTAGAGTTTTCTAAATATGATTTGAGAATATAGTTGTATTTTGAGTTTGTGAGCTTTGGAATTATGATTTGAGTATGGAAAATTTGTTTGGTGAATAAGTTTTGAAAAGAGTTTTGGGGAATTTTTTATGTAACATATGATATTTGATACAAAACTTATAACTCATAACCAAATATACAACTTAAGATTCTATTCAAAACTTAAAAAAAATTTAAAAATTTAAAAATTTAAGGCTCTGTTTGGTTGTGAATTCAAATCAATTTTCAACACGTGAGCTCGCGCATGACGTTTGGATACGAAGTTCAAAAGTTGATTCCGCGTGTTAATTCAAATTACAATTTGAAAATTCGTTTGGCATCTCGTAGTTCAGTTCTCCGCTTTCAACGTGTCTGTCTTCTTCCTCTTTTTCTCTTAATCTGGTAAATAAATTCTTTATCTATTATGTGCAAATGATTTTAGACTAGTCGAAATCAGTTCTCAAATCTTTTGTGAGAAGTGTAGCCGACTATTTTTTTTGTTTCAGATGTTTTTCGATTTTCCCGAACTGTTTCAACCTTCTCCCCACTAATCTAGTAAATCAATATTCATCTGTTATGTATAAATGATTTCAGAGAAGTTGAAATCAGTTCCCAAATGATTTCTGAGAATTTGTAGTCGAGTTTTTTTCATTTTAGATCTGTTGGTATTTTAAACTCCGAACTGTTCGAACCTTTGCACGAAGAGAACCTGAGGCGCAGTATCAAGGACACCCAGCCGGTCGTCTCCCGGGTCATCCGGCCGGTCGTCTCCCAAGTCATCCCACAGTCATCCCTTCCTGCCAACTTCTCTACTTTGAACTGTTTGATATTATGCACGAAGAGAACTGTTTGAACCTTTATTTTAAAATGGAAAAATTATTTGGAAAAAACAATTATTCAAAAAAATTACTAAAAGAAATTAATTGACAAAAAAAATCAATTTTTAATTTTAGTATTTTAAAAATAGTTTCGTTATTATTGTTGATAAAAAAATATGGATATCGATATATGAGTTGTGTGTTTGATGATAAATTATTTGTTGAATTAAGTTTTGAAAACTATTTTCAAAACACATCACCAAACAAATTTTCACCTTTCATATGCCACATCAAACTTTCAAAACTTAATTCAAAATACATTTTCAAAACACAATTCAACACTCTATTTAAAAATCATAACCAAACAAATTTTTTACACTGAAATCATAATTCTACAACCCACAAACTCAAAATACAACTCATACTCTCAAATCACATTTACAAAACACAACCAAACGCAGGCTAAAAATTTTCTTTATTTAAAATATACAAACTAATAGGTGCCAATTGTAAAAAATAAAAAATAAATAAAAAAATAGCATTGTTCCGGTCAACTGGCCGGACGTCTAGGAGGACGACCAATTAGCGCAAATTTTACCGCCTTAAAAAGAGTTTTCAAAAGTTAGTGTAAAATTAATTTTTGAAAACTCTAAACAAACAAAATACTCAAAACATAGGGTGTAAATGTATTTGGAGAGCTTCTCTAAACACAACCTAACTTTTCGACCAACTTCCCAAAACACCACTCATTGCTAAAAAAACAAGCTACGAACGTAGCTTTTTACGAAATTGCCAAAAGAGCACTATATATAATTTAACTAATAATAAAATTAATATTATTATTTTGTAATGCATACATCGTAATATATTTTTAAAAATAATTTACATCCAAACATATATAAATAATTTAAGTTAATTTTATAAAACATTTTTTTTAAAAAAAAGAAGAAAGTCACAAAAAAAATAAAATAAAATAAAATCCTTACAACAAAATAAGTCCTGAATTTTTTATTTTATAAGTTTAAATCCTTGACTTTTGATTTGTTTAAAGTCTAAATCATTTATCTATTTTCCTTAGGTAAAATCGTCAGAAAATGGATATTTTTGTCATTAAACTCAATGAAAATGAGTATTTTAGATATTTATGTATACCTACATTAAATTTAAAGACTAAAATACTATTATTCCGTTGGCTTAGTTAACGGAAATAAATAAATAATTTAAATTAACAAAAAATCAAAAAAATTATAATTTAAATTGATTAAGTAAAAAAGACAGTGTTTATTTTCTCAAAATAAAATAAATCCATGTATCGCACAGTCTAACTGTTAGCAAATAAATACGTTTGATCAGTAAGATCGATTGATGGGCTAGTGCATGAGATGCCCACAACGGGATTTTTAGTAAAATCCTCCCTTTTTTTGGTTTTTTTTAGGATAAAGGACAATTCAATGAATTCTCCTTCAAAAAGTCCTTAAGTAGGAGACGTGTGGCTCAATAAGGATATTCTATAATTTATATTTTTTTGACCATATTGCCCTTATATATATATATATCATATATTTGAAAATATGGGCTCATGTATACATGGATCTTGTATATTTGAATCAGTTAGGAGGATCTGTGAAATCAGTGAAAATGATCTACAAAATCCATGAAGATGGTGTAACGCCCCTAAAATGTAACCATAGATTCAACCGAAATATAAATGAATGACTACATGAATCAGAGTGTAACGTTCTTCTATTTCATAGAATTAATAGTACAAAAGAGTTTAATATTAATAAATGCTTTATAGGCTTACACCTTTCCAAGCCTTGGCTTGGTTACAACAAAAATGAGACTAGCTCATACAATTTAAGCTCTAGGCTATACAAAAATAAAACAAAACAAAGAAGTTCTTGCTTCCCAAAAGTCTCTCCAATGCTATTGCCTTGGTGGAGACATGCTATCGTCACCTAAAAATGTTTTTCCCAAATAGGGTGAGCCATAGCCCAGAAGGAATAATCTAACACAATATATAAGATTTAACAAAAATATAAGTGCAAGGTGCATAAACAATGCCAGGGATAAACCATTCACATTTTATATAGTCATAGAATATCAAAACTATATTTCATTCCATTTTCCTTCAACTTATTTCGATACATGAACCAATTTTATTATTCCTTCGATAATCCAAATGAAACTATAACTCAATGGTTCTACAATCACACCAATAACACACAAACACTTCAAACTGCCATTTCATAGAAATTTCGTCCGCGGGATCGGCACCCATGTATAAATTTCGGGGCTTTCACCAAGGACACTTCGGCCAACTTAATCATAATGGAGTCTATCACATTTCTCCTCCCAAACAGTGGAGCCTATCCCCTTTCTCCTCCCAAACAATCATATATATACAATGTATTTAAACATATAATCATATATGGAGTACATCTATTTTCCCCACCCAAACAATCATACATATACAATGTATTTAAAACATGATCATATTCAGTGATAACCAACCATAGATTAGTTTTAATTCACCCAATCCTCATACAATTTCTACAACAATCATAGCTATCCTTCACCGATAACCCAATACAGTTATTTCTAAACAGATATACAATCTGAAGATAGATAATTTATTCAAAATTTCCAAAGATGAGGCGTATTATCTACCCTCATCTACTATTTATTTCAAAACTCGTTCAATTTCATGTTCACAACATCAATTTCAGTTACTTATACAAAATAAATATTATGATCATTTTAGGGCAAACCCCCTCTTTTCTCAAGTATCAACCAAGTAGCATTTT